GTAAGATATCTTAGACAAAACCTTCCTAACATGTTTCAGAAAATGATATTATAGGCATATTCAAAGTTCAAAAGCATAACCATGTAAGTTACCTCATTATACAAATCAAGTAGGATTGACAATCTAAGAAACTCAATCTATACTTTAGTGAACTTTAGCATCATATTATTGTTATTTTTAGCTGCACGCAATACACAATGTCCATGAAAATCAATAAGCATATGAGTAAAACTCACATCTAAAGTCTAGAATAATCAAACCATGAAGCTAAAATAATTAAATAATAATGGTAAGTGTCATACAAAGAAACAAAATTAAATCAAACTATCAAAATGGTGGAATGTACTTAATTGTGATATGAAATACAAAAATTGGTAGAAATATAGTATCATTTCATCTTTGTTCTAGACAAATACAAATTTCCTTTGACATGAAACATATAAATTTCCTTTAACACAACATTATTCTTTACAAAGACTAAGATACGTTAAACATGAAGAGAGACTCGCCAACAATATGAAAATCCCCAAAAATTTGTTAAAGATTCAAACTTTCTTCCATAAATATTCAAACTTTCTTATATAAAAATTTCAACTTTCTTCAATACCATACAAAATTCAAACTTTATTCTATAAAGTCAAAAATTCAAACTTTATTATACAAAGATTCAACATTTCTTCTATAAAGATTTAATTTTTTTTTATAACATCAAAAATTACAACTTTCTTCATCCACTCAACCATTTTTTAGTGTGAAAAATGGAAAGGCAAAAGAGAGAAAAAATGTATATGAAACTGTAAGGACATTCAACTTGCAAATATGAATAAGGACATACACATGATAACATTTTTAAGTTGAGTAAGCTAATATCAAGAAATTAGAATTAAAAGAAAGATTATACATTTTAATGAAGAACACCGAAGAATCTAACTATTTGTTGAGAAAATCATACCTATGAGAAAAAATGTAGAAAAAAAGAAATGGTGAGTCTCATATTTTGAAAAAATGGAAAAAAAGAGAGATCTTTAAAATGGAGAGGGAGATAAATTGGAAAATGATGGAGATAGAATGAAAAGATTATACCTTTAAATGAAGAATCTTTGAATGAAGAACTCAAAAAATCATACCTATGAAAAATATAGAAGGAAGAAATGGTGAGTCTCATATGCTCAAAAAATTATACCTATGAAAAAATATAGAATGAAGATGAATGAATAGTTTTAAAAAGATGAAGATGAAAAAAAAAGGAAAGTTTGAAGATGAAGAAGAAGAAAGAGATTTAAACGGTGGACAGAGAAGTGAAAATAAAAAAAGAGAGGGAGTGAGAGAAAAAGGCAAATGAAAAGGGGGAGTCTATAATGATTACAAAATTGTAATATCTATTTTACCCCTAGTTTAAATTTTAAAATAACACATTGTCTAAACCTATTATCGTAATATTCACTATCCTATAATAAATATAATATTAATTTATTATATTGGTTTTGCAAAAGACCGAAGTGGCCCATACTTTTTGTGAAATGACCATTAGAAATAGGACTTCAATGTAATTTTGTTAGTTTTTTATTATTTAATGTTGAAAACCGGAAGACATTTTTACCCTCCAAAATGCCAAGTGTCAAGGATATAAGATATCCATTTTGGTAAATTCACCAGCCCCTTCAATTAATATAGATATATAGATACTTTTTTTGGGTCCAATAATGGTGATGACATTTTTTTATGGCAGCTAATTATTAACAGACAAATTATAAATTTGTAACACATGTGATCATCATTTATATATAAGAAGAAATATCGATGTAAATAATAGTATTTGAAATAAGTTTGATGTCATTATCTAAATAGAAATATTTGAAAATATATTTTTACCAATTTTTATATATAATAAAACTTTCAATGAGAAAAAATGATATAAAATTTAATTTGATTTAGAATTATTATTATTTTGATTTGTGAAAATTAAATTTCCCAATGAAAATAGAAAATAAACCAAACATGATTTGAATTTCAATGATATGATTTTAAATCAAAGTTGTGTAGAATAATAATATATTATTCATAATAGTAAACAAAGCATGTGATAGTAAGAGTAGATTTGATCTTTTTTTAGTATATTATATAAATAGTAGTATTTGAAAATCAAATTTATATTTCATAAACAAAAATGATGAAATATTTATTTCTTTATCAAACTACTTTTTGGAACCCATAATTAATTTTACTCGGTAGAATTATGAAAATGTCAAACATGTTAAATAAACTATGGAAAATTGGTTTCGAGTCTCAAAATATATTTTTGAAGTTTCCTAAGTGTAATGCTATTTTTCAATGCGGAAAATTGATCCCAACTAAATTATAGTAATTTTTTTACAAAATAAATTTCCAAATGAAAAAGGAAATATATCAAAGATGATTTAAATTGTCATCTCAACAACTTTAAATCAAAGTGGTAAAGAATAATATTAAGATATTAGTAATAATAAATAAATTAGGAGTTAGTAGAGTAGATTAAAACAAACAAAAAAAATATTAAGATTTTTATCAAACTATAGTTTGGATTTAGAACCAATGAATTTTGAAATTATAGTTTGTATGAACAATTTTTAGATTTGAAATTAGGGTTTTAGATGACTTGGAAAGTTAGAAGTGGTGAGGGATATGAGAAAACTTCTATATATGAGGGTAAAAATCAACATTCAAGTGTGTGAGAATGAAAGTTTAATTCATTTATAGGATTAAGAAAGTTAGTGTCTAGTGCATGAGAAGTAAAAACAAGAACCAAAATAACTAACTTAGGGTTTTTACCACGTAGCGTAATTGGAGATAGAAGCTTCTGAAATACTTTGTTTAATATATATAAGATAGATTTCTTAAGATCAATTGGTATTTGGGGATGGAAGGAAGATGAATAAGGATTTTTACCACATAGTGGTAATGCTTAAGATAGGGTCCCATGAGAAGAGTTCTCTTATGGAGATGTCTTAGGTGGACCCATCAAGGTTTAAAAGATTTATCAAAAGATTGAACATTATTAACTTTGGTTAGTGTGCATATTTATGTATTAATGAAATTGTGGAGAGAAGTAGATAGGGATAAAAAGATATTAAGATATGAGATGTTGAATAATGACAGTGAACATTTATGTTACTCCAAAGTTCTTTACTAAAATATTGCATTTACAAATGTTACAATAAGGGCCCAAAATAATCAATAAAGATCCATATTCTAAAAATTGGTGTCTTTGTGTTCCAAACTAACATTGTTGCAACAAGTCATATAAAAAAATTATTTTCTATATTTTAAAATTTCTTTTTAATTAAATGACAGTTTTTAATTGGATTGAGACATACTTGAGACACAAAAAATGAGAAAATTAATCTCCATTACAAAATAACATCCCATTTAGCGGTGGCAAATGGATAGATTTGGATGGTTTTGGATTTGGATGAAAATGGATGGATGAAAAGTCATTCATCAATCCATTTAAATTATATTTTAAGTTATCCAATCCATCCATATGCAATAGATTATAATCCATCCAATTCATCCATGACTCCATTTTCATGGATTTGGATGGATGGATATTCAATCCAATTCATGACTTCATATTTTTACAATATGTTTTCTTTTATAAAAAAACATTTTTAAAAAGTGTTTTTTTTAAAACACATTTAAAAATGTGAACTTTTAAAGTTTTTATCCTAAACTTAAAAGAATAATAAATTTAAAAAATTAACTTTAAAGCATTTAATGGTAAATCATATTTTCGGTGTTAAAACCTTCAAGTGAGCTTCAAGCTAGTGTTCTTAGAAAAATTTGACGTATATCATAAAATTCATATATTCTTTTTTCTATTTCTCTCACTCTTCATGTTTTTTTTTGTTGGTTACAAACATAAATTATATTTATCAAAATTAAATTACATGATTGATAGATAGTTGAAATATCCAATTGAAGGAAGTATAAGAGAAATAGATTTGGCAAGAAATGTTAAACACTCAATGCAATTTTATGTGAAGGCTAAGTACAAAATGATTTTATACCAAAGCAAGATGACCAATAAACTTCTAGCGAACACAAAACCACAAAATTAAAACATATTCTCATCAATATTTGAGACTAAAATAACATAAATTTACAATGTTGCATTAACATAAGTTTTAAGCTTAAAAATAACTAGTAACACAATTACTGTGATGAGGGAGCCTCATGTACAATAATCAGCAAATAATTTATCATTCCAACACGAGCATCCACAATACAATACAACAAATAATATTTTAATGTATATATAAGGAATCAAAACATATATCAATCAATCTTGAATGAACATCAAAATTAAAATAAACTATCGGAAGAAACAAAACCTTCAACAGAGATGAGAATGTATGAAGATATTGGAAGAAAAACCTTCATAAATGAAGAAAGCAAGCTTTTGTTGAAAGAATATTTTTGTTAGAAAGGGTAATGGAACTTTTGAATAAATTATTTTATTAAAAATGAGTTTACACAATGTTTTGAGAAAAAAAAGTTTTTACTTTTAAATTTTTTTGGTATCCATCCAAATGGATATATTCATGGATATCAATTGGATGGATTTGAATCCACCCATTATCGACACTATCCATTGGATTATATTCATTTAAATTCATTAGTTCTAATAGATAGATTTGGATAGATTCAACTTGAATGAATTTTGGATCGACCGTGAATTATGAATAATTTCGTGATTCTTACCCCATGTATGATTTGATGGGTTGTAACATGTAATTGGGGGTATTTGACACCTCTAGTTTTTAGAACGCTTTCATTTTGCACCCAAACAAAACCATTTCTGAATTGTTAATACTGTCCTTAAGCATGATAAATGTGAAAAAATATTTTAGGTAATATAAGAAAAAATATTTTTTGTTTTTAAGAATTTTCATTTTAAATATGTGGCAACTTTAAAAATCCTAAAAATGTGAAGTGACCAACCAAGGTAAATCCAACCAACACTTGAAGCCATTCCATGTTTTAAAACCAGATTACATAAACTCAAGTGAACATCAAACAATGATTAAATCCAACATAACAGTTACAAAAGATAATACATAATCATAAGAACCTTAACAAGGGAAAGACATAATGTAAATGTCCATGGTTTACAATAAAACATAGATAAGGCTGAAGTAATTCACCAAATGTGCAATTCTCCTTCATCACACTATGGCAAATTCTTCTGATTAGAAGCTTTAAAAGCAACAAAAATCTACACAATGAAGGTGAATTAGAGAAGATATGAAGCAAGATTTTTTTATAATCAATTAGGCTTAAAATAAACCAAACTAACTTACCTGAAATGTACTCAATATAACTATCCAAAAGTGCACACACATGAGCAATTTCTTTCAGCAAAGTAAAGGTGGCTTTGAGCAAGAATGCAAGATATCTGCAACATTTACTCGGTTAACAGAAGAAAGAATGGTACCATAGATACGTGGATAAAAACCTCCTTCAAGAGCAAAAGAACACAAATTTGGTGTAGAAAGCCAAAATTCACAAATGCCATAACTTTTTTGACAAATGGCTAAACTCAAAAGGGTAGTGCTAGATATGTAGAAGCGCAACCCTGTTGCTGTACAATCATAAAGGACCAAATTATTCAACTTCTTCAAGGTTTTAAACGGATCAGCATGCCCATTTTCACTTGCAATAAAGTGAATATTCCAAAGATTCAAGCTTGTTAATGCTGGCAAATTTAGAGATTTTGGAAATACCATTTTCTCATCTTTGTTAACTACTGAAAGCTTAAGGTAAGTTAGGGTTTCACAGAAAAAGATAGAGGAAAAAATGATAGGAGGCAACCTATTAAAATTAACATTGGCTTCAATTGCTAATTGCTGAACCTCATGTGAAATAGCATAACTAATGACCCTTTTCAGAATATGAGGTTCAACAATTCCAAAACCTTTGAAATCAAGAGTTTGCAATGCAAATGATGGATCACGAAAAGATAAAAGCTTAGGCAACACTTTGTTGAATATCTTTTTTGTTCTAAAGTCTGATTCATGTAACACAAGAGTTGGAAGAAACTTCCATAGGTGTTCCCATCTCCTAGAGAGGATGCATGTTCTAACAGCATCTTTGTAGGTTAACAATGACAAAATGCAAAGGATAAGACAATTAGGTAAGTCACTGATCCTGTTTTCTTTCATTTCACTCTCACCCAATTTTGCTTTCTTTTCATGCACCAAGATATTATTCTTCAACATCTGAACAATAAAGTTAGACATTAATTAATATGTTTGATATTAAAATTTCTAAGGATGTGATAAGGATCATTATGGTGTGTAGGGATGATAAAATATGCAGATGACTTATTATTATACACTTTCAATTAAAGTATTTGATTTTAGAAAAAATATTATGTTTACAATAATATTGCATAATTAAATGATTATGAGGAATCTAGTTACTCCAAGAGTAAGTGAAAAAGACTTACTCCTCATTTTAGCCATCAAATCTTGGAAAATTCAATGGTTTAGATGTACTCACTAATTCAAACCATTGGATTTCCCAAGAATGAATGATCATGATGTGGAATGGGTCTCTCCCCTTAAATGATAATCCCTATTACAACTACAAAAAAAATTAGGGATAATTAAATTTTTTAATGAAGAGTAAATAGAAGAAAAAATAAAATATTTACATAAAAAATATAAAGTATATATCTTATAAAATCAAGATCAAAATCCTATAGTATCTTATAATAAGAACGAAAAGGAGTATAGTATTATTATTTAATAAGCCCATAATTATAACTCATAAGTGATATAGTGGGACTTATTTCATTTTACATTTGTCAGCTAATTTATCAGCTAACTTATAAGCTATTTGTGCAGGAAGATTTTAGTGAGAACTTGATCATCAAAAGATAATGGAAGAATTTCCAAAACTATAACAATAAAAAGGAAACGGATTGGTATAATCATAAAACGAAATTTAAAAAATTAAAACAAAGGAAAGTGATGGTTTAATCCAGAAAGTGAATTGAAGAAATACCTTAGAAGGTGATTTGAAGAGAATTGCAGGGTATCCTTTGAGAATCGATGGATATATAATAAAGAATGTGGTAATGGGTATATAATAAATAGAAATTGAGTTTGTAATAAATATTGTTATTTACATAAGAGCTTCACTCAACGGGCTTAATTCCAGGTTGAGGAAGACGAGGAGTCATTTAGAAATTGTTTATTGTGCAAATATTATTATTATATAATACTAATTAATAGAGATGATTAAATATTCACCCATCGGCTAACTTTACACGCTTATTTTTAATAGGCGTCATCATTGACGAAGACGAGGAGGTAGTTGGGAATTTTTATAATCGGTAATATAATACATTATAAAATACATATATTTTTTCTCATTTTTATTATCTCTTTCTTGTTATAATATAAATATGTACCCAAAAAATAGATATGGTTTGTTATATGAAAAAAAAATGTATATACTAACAGCGTCTAATAGTGTATGAGTTTGACATATTGTTATTATATTACTAAAGAGTAAGCATGAGTCGGGTTAAAACGAGCTAAAACTTGTCTTTACTTGACCATAAATGTTGATAAATTCATTTTTTAAACACGGCCCGGACCCTAGACCTGAAGCTAACTCGACCGTAAATACCCATTGGTTTAGCCTCTGAATCTGAACTCAACCTAGACCTAATTAAATATAGTGCATACTCATTTTAGATAAAGTATTTTCAATATTATTTATTATTATGAATATTTAATTTGACGTATCAAATGATATATATTGTTAATCATGTACGTATAATGAAAAATACTAGAGAATTAAGAATATTTTCGACAAAAAAATGTCATTATTCTGTACACATTTGAATAGAGACACATACAAACATATGATAAGTGAGTGACCATGGGACGGGTCAGGTCAGATCATGTTTGGTACCTATCTGACCCTAAATATTGATTCGGTCTAATATTTGAACTCGAACACAACTGTAAACCCAATGAGAACCGGCCTTATTCGGGTCCGATCATGATCGGGTAGGTCGGGTCTTGCTCACCCCTAATATCATTCACCATTAATATTTAACCATTATTGACTATATAAAAAAATAATACAGACAAATGATAAATAATATATAGGCATGTACCATTAAGTTAAACAAATTACCTTAGATGACCTTATGTAATAATATAGTGGTAGGGTCGGGAGAATTTGCATGTATTTATGAGCTTTTGTAATATATATATATATATATATATATATATATATATATATATATATATATGATATTTTCACTAAGGATATTTTATGCCTCAGGCTAATTGGTTAAGCTATGAGATATATATGAAGTTTGAATGGCTTGAAATTTCAATTAGAAGTATACTTAGGCTCCTTCCTCTTCCCCTTAAAAAACATGTTTAAAAAATCTAAGATGATTTCTCTTCATTGAAATATAAAAAAAACATATACTTTTACTAAATTGAGCTTGATCCTAGTTAAGTTCAATTCAGTTTATTCTAGGAAGCTACTTTATTTATTGTTGTTGTCAATATATTTCCCCCTTTCAGATGAGATATTAATCTTCCTCTAGACATGAACAAGTGTGCTTCCAGATATAAATTATTTCTTATGTAAACTCTATCACATGTCTTATATGCAACAACTTTAGGCAATAGCTATGTAAGGGTGCCATTTCTCTTCTTTATTCTCCTGGATTTACTGTTGATAACATAATTTAACAGCATTATTGCTTTGCTTTGGTGCCATTTCTCTTCAAATTGTTAAGATATATATCATTATCAACCCAAGCACTCTTCAGTCTTACACCAAAACAATGCTGTTAAATTAGCACATATTTTTTGCAATAAAGTATGCTTAAGTTCTACTCTACTAAATAGAAATTTATACCTTACTTTGAAATTCTAGCAGTAATCAGGAAAAATATTATCTTTAAGAGAAACCCAATAATTCAATAAAAATACCTTCAAATACAGCAAATTAGTTTATAAGATTTATTGTTCCAAAACATTCTCAATTCAAAATAAAGTACAATGGAGATCAGGAATTTGCTTTATCTACTGAAAACCAGTAATTGACTGAAAATGGTCCTAAATTCTATTACACCAGTTTATTATATGCTTTTGATTAACAAATTGGGATTCTATACCTTTAAAATCTACTTCAAGAATAACATTCTTATGGTCCTCATTTGAGCCATAGAGGACATAGCCTATAATATTCATGGGATGGCTAATACAAAAGTAGATAATACTTTTCACTGCAGAAATTCATAAAATGAAAATGAATATAATATGTAACATTTCCCCTATGAATCTACTTACATGGCATGCATATGTATTATCTTGGAAGCTATCAAACCCCATAATTGATGGCAAGAAAGAAGATGCAACACTTGTGGTTTGATATTATTGGCATATATTCCTATGTTAGAACCATAAAGTACAAGCACAAAATAAAGATGGTCCTTATGATTCAATTCTGAAGCTAATTAGCCTTCTAGATTAAAACAGGACTTAAGCAAGTATACACTTTTATTCATGCCACCATTGGCTATAACAAAACAAAGGCATGCATGCAATTAAAGTGTCTTGTGCATCCATTACTATGATTCTATTTTTCAGAAGTTGTATGATAAATTTTCTACTGCCAAACTACTGTTTCACGTGTTTTACTGCATGCATTAATCCAAATATGCATCTATGATGTAACAGCAACCATACTAGGGATAATGATGATCTTTTAGAAGGGAGAGAGATACTTACCGTTTTTACCGTAGCTTGCAACAATTCTAAATGACACGAAATAATACTTTTTGGTTGAGTCACGACCAGGTCGTAAACCCTCTTTTTAAGACGCTTCGTGGTACTTCCAAAAATGTACAAACAGACTATCAACCACGTCGTACCCAGGATAAGAACCGATCTCGACCAAAATATAGCTACCCGTGCCAATTCTCAAAATTCTCACAGTATGGCTACCCGCGCCAATTCTAGTACCATGAAAAGAAAGAGGGAGGAGTATGTCAGAAATGCATCAGCAGAAATTATGGGGAAGAAAGAAGAAGTTGAGTAAGAGCGTACTCAACTTGGAACAAGAAAATATGAAGGGAGTAGGCTTCCATTTATATCATGAGATTTTTTCAAGTTCCTCATCTATCCTACGTGGGACATGTGAGTTGATTTCCAAAAAATTCTTCTTACATGGGACTTGTGAGTTTTTTTATTTCACACCCAAAAGTCTCCACTAATGACCTCCAACAAAGCAAGTTCCAAGAGATATCATCAACAACGTCACAATTGTTTCATAAAGCTTAAGATTCTTGGATTTGTAAGCTTTGGGCACATTCAAACAATTGACCCAAATTTCAACATTAGAGCAAATAATTGCTCCTGTTCTCTGGACCCAAATTTCAATATTAACCTCTGTAAGAATATTTTTCTCAACTTTAAGAGCTATAAAATCCCAAGACCAAAGTTATGATTACCCTCAACTCAAACCATCCTGATATAAACATTCTATTAATGTATTATCTAGTTTTGTTGGGTTCAAACATTCTTGAAAGAATAAATATCAGGTAATCTGCATCCCGAGGTTTAAAAACAATACATTATTGTGTCTAGCGGGATGCAGATTACCACTTCCTTGTGATCAATGTAGAGCAATTAAATCAATTTGTTAATGTTAACATAGTTCTTTATTCTACCACTACATTGCTACAAAGAAAATGAGAGTTTCCAATTTGTGCCTAGGAATAATCAATCACTACATGCTAGACATGTATGTATATGTATGTGTCTTAGTGTGTGTATCAGCTTACAACATAGCTAGGCTGCGAAAATGAAACAAATATTTGATTTTATAGATCACTGCAACAACAACCAAGTCTTTTACCACTAGACGGGTTCGTTACGTGAATTCAATAACATCATAATGTTCTAACGTAAAACATATACTTAATTCTTTTGATAACCATAAATAATTAGAAAACACCATCTGCTCTTTGCATAACTACTTTTTCTTGGAAGATTAAACATGCTTAGAACACAAACATTCTTGTAAAACACAAACATACTTGGAGAATTATAGAATTTATGAATCACTGTTTCAAGCTTTCTGGAACACTCCAATAGCTTCATCTTTACTTATGCTGAAATCTTTCCCATCTTTGAAGATCAGAAATTCAATCATCTCCACGCGGAAGAATATGAAACTTCCACATAAATGTGTAATGCAGGATCCAAAGTCTTTCCCAACCACAGAATTCCATGCAGCTCAATATGCTTCATCAAGTTTCTGTTTAACAAATTAAGTAACTAAGATATTTTCCTACATGAAATTTGTCCTCTTCATTGTCTCACCCTCACTTTTTCAGCATAAGAATCAAAGAGGGTACTTTTCCATTTTAATATATACAATAATTGATAGGATCAAGGCTAGGCAAAACATTAAACATGTGTATAAAAGGGGAGTTAGGTAACTAACTGTAACTGACTTTCCTTAACTGTTTTTGACAGCTAAACAGTCAGTTAGTTAGAATTGAGTTGTATAAGTAGAAACAGTTTGTAATTAGAAGGGAGGCAATTGTAGAGTGGGAAAACTGATTGTGGAATCAGTTGGTGGATCGTGAGATCCTTGTAACTGTCTTCTTTCTTGTAATTCTTACTTTTCTTCATCAATAAAGCATTTCCATTAGAGCCCTGCCAAGAAACCTTTAGGTATTATTGGCTTAGGGATATTTCCTTTCTATTAAATTTATACTCTTAGTTTGATACAAGTGTTTATCAATAATATATCACTATTTATGACTTAAATATAGATGCAAATTAAGCATATTTCATAAATTTAAGAATTCCTTATGAGAACAGCTATAGAACATAGATACTAATTAGTGCACCCAACAACAACAAAGATACAAATAATACTAATCATAAGACAACCATGCTATGCATTCTAACACCCCAAAAAAATTTTGAAAGGATAACATCTGTAATTTAAATTGCGGACCGCATCACCTGATGTGGCCACAATATTTTGGTTGCGCAACCGCAACACACTGCAATTACGGTGTGATTCCGAATCAAAATGATGCGGCCGCATCGGACTGCATTTGGATCGCATCATGCCACATCGGACCACATCAGGTTGCATCGAATTCAAAAATATTGTTTTAATCACAAAATAATTC